ATTTCATCCTTTATTTCTGACTGTTCTTTTCACAGTTACTACCAGGGTTTCCCCGAAAATAAGACCTAGCGCAGGGAAAGATAAGACATCCCCTGAAAATAAGACTTAGTACAACTTTGGGAGAAAAAATTAATATAAGACACTGTCTTATTTTTGGGAAAACAGGGTTTTATCTTTTCTCATGCTTTTGGGCATCTTTACTAACATTATTCTGAATTTTATATCAGATAAATTTCTTATCTCCATTTCATTTATCTTTTTCTGGAGAATTCTTTTTTCTTTCATTAGTTTTTTTGTTTTGTTTGTTTGTTTGTTTCCTAATTTTGGCTGCCTGTTTGGGTTTGTTACTATCAGGTCAATCTTCTATGCCTCTCAATATTTAGTGCAGTGCAATCTCAATTGCACTCTTCTTTCTTTCTTTCTTTCTTTCTTTCTTTCTTTCTTTCTTTCTTTCTTTCTTTCTTTCTTTTTTAATAAATCTTTATTCATATTATTACAAATGTTCTTCATTTTTTTCCCCTCCATTGCTTCCCTCCACCAGGTTCCCACCCAACCCTCTGCCCTTTCCCCACCCCCCATTGTCCTCATCCATAGGTGCACAGTTTTTGTTCAGTCTCTTCCCGCACCCCCCACTCCCCTTTTCCCCGAGAATTGTCAGTCCACTCCCCTTCCATACCTCTGATTCTATTATATTCACTAGTTAATATTGTTCATCAGGTTTTTAAATCCCCTTAGCTTTTAGTTTCACTTGTTGATAGTTACGTATTTGTTAATCATAATTTTTATCTATATCTTTTTCCACTTCCTAAAGAACCCCTTTCAGCAATTCATATAATTTTGGTTTGGTGGTGATGAACTCCTTTAGCTTTTTTTTTATTTGTGAAGCTCTTTATCTGGCCTTCGATTCTGAGTGATAGCTTTGCTGGGTAGAGTATTTCAAGTTCTGTTTCTGACTAATTAGATCAGGCAAGAAATCAAAGCCTCCAGAAACTGCCTCTGTCTATAGACTGGATTCCATCTTGAGTAGCCCTGAAGCACACATCCACAGGTGTGGCTAGAGTTTTTCAAACAGGGTGGGGCAGTTTCTTCTGCCTAGAGGCTAATTGTTATCTCTTGTCTCTCTCTCTCTTTTTAAAAAAATATATTTTATTGATTTTATAGAGAGGAAGGGAGAGAGATAGAGAGTTAGAAACATGGATGAGAGTCATCGATCAGCTGCCTCTTGCACACCCCCTACTGGGGATATGCCCGCTAGCAAGGTACATGCCCTTGACCAGAATCGAACCCGGGCCCCTTCAGTCCCCAAGCTGACGCTCTATCCATTGAACCAAACTGGTTTTGGCTATCTCTTGTCTCTTAATGGGCTTTGTTAATACATTGTGGGGCAATTTATTTTTAAATAGGGTGGGTCAATTTTCTTTCCCTATGCCTAGAGTCGGCTAACTGCGGCTCCTGAGCCACATGCAGCTCCTTGGCCCCTTGAGTCTGTCTCTCCCACAAAATACTATGGCCTGGGCAAGTCCAATTTGAAGAAGTGGCGTTAGAAGAAGTTTAAGTTTAAAAAATTTGGCTCTCAAAAGAAATTTTAATTGTTTATTGCTGATAGTTGGCTCTGTTGACTAATGAGTTTGATGACCACTGTCCTAGGCAAAAACCACCTGTATAGCAAATGTCTGCCTCAGAAAGATGATCTTCAGAGTATGAGGGAATGTCTCAACACAGGAACTGGGTGTCTGTCTTTTGAGCTCTAACCCCAGAGCCCCAACCCTGGCTTCTGCTCACACAGCCCCTATCCATTCTGCCCTCCCTTTGTTAGAGCACAAGGTGAATGGCTGTACATGGAATTTTGTATGTTGCCTTTTAAGAGGGTGCCTGCCTTCCAGCCATTTCTCCCTGTCAGGCAACACCCTGCTGCTTTTCATAGCCAGAATTATGTCAGCACTTTCTCAGTTCTGGCACTCTCTGTTGGGGGCCCTGCACTTGGGGATTACATCCCAGAGTTCTCAGTGGCCAACCCCCACAGCTGAGATATCTCTCCTGAACTTTAATTGCTGTCTGTGGTAGCCTGGCCACCCTTTTGCACCTCTGTCCTTCCTATCAGTCTCTATGTGATCTCCACTTTTCATCCTTGGTTATCAATATTCTCTCCAGCTAGTCTTCAGTTGATTATTCAGGATGTTTTTTTTTGTATTTTTGTTGTAATTCTGATTTGGTCCTGGAAGTGTGTCAGTGTAGCATCCACTTACTTCACTGTCATTTTTAATCTCTTCCTTACAGTATATCTTGATAGTAAACTAAAATTTTTTGAGATATAACAGACAAGCATTAACAGGACATGTTTATAGAACATTAGATTTAGAGCACAGGCCTATAATGTCAACATTAGAAAATTCTGGGATCTATTTTGTTTCTGTGGTTACACACATGGGAACTTTCCAGTATAGTTTCTGAATTTCTTGTTCATTGGGTCTTCCTGCTTTTGTTCATTTAGTTTACTTCTTCTTCTTTAAAAAAAAAATATGTTTGATTCATTTTTTACAGAAAGTGAGGGATAGAGAGTTAAAACATCGATGAGAGAGAGTCATCGATCAGCTGCCTCTTGCACACCCCATACTGGGGATTTGCCCGCAACCAAGGTACATGCCCTTGACTGGAATCGAACCTGGGACCTTTCAGTCTTCAGGCCAACGCTCTATCCTTTTAGCCAAACCAGTTTCGGCAAGCTTATTTCTTGTTACCTACCAGTTCCATTCATTTCTGAGCAACTCTGGGACTTGTCTCATAGGACAATGTTTATCTAATTTAGGCTGTAATTATTAATATTAAAGAAGAAATAACAAAATATAAGAAATGTAAGCTTTGCTATTGCTGATATATTTAGATGCTGTGATCGGTTGAATTTAGGATATGCAGTAGTCTGGTTTCTAGACCCTAATGGTGTTAATTTATAGCAATTTGGTGGTGGTGGTGGTGGTGGGGGGGGGCGCGTAGGGAGGTATGCCCAGGATCATCACCTCATGGACAGGCTCTTGAACCTAATAGTGGCACTGCTGTCACCACATCTCAGCTTTGGCTTGGGTGGTTCCACAGGTCTTTTGCCAAGAACAATTGCCCCAACCCCCGGGGCACAACAATGTGGGGAGAGTGAGGACCTGTGGAGGATGAAAAGAAGGGACAGGGGCATGGAGAAATGGAGGCAAGACAAAGTTCTGATCAAGCCTCAAACTTTATTTTTGGAATGGCAGTATATATACAGCAGGAACAAAGCGGGGCAGGGTTGCCTATGCAGTGGGGTCTTTGACAATGTATAAGTAGTTTAGGCACTGAGTGACAAGGTGGTAAGGTATCTGGCAACACAGGATTGGCTAACTGCCAGGGCGGCAACATTCCAAGGTGTAACATTCCAAGGCTGGGCTAGCTATGGGGGAGGATCAGGAAGGGGAGTTGCAGAGATCCTCTGGAGCAAGATGTGCTAAGCGCAGGTTGATCTTTAGCTTCTGGCCAAACCCGCAGGGCACCGCATAACTTCTGCTAGAAGGAACTTAATTCTAAGATGGAGTTGTATTTTCTGCTTGTCTCAACTCTGATGGTTCCCAACAAACAATGACACTACTTACAGAGCTGATCTCATGCGAAAGAGATGGTGTCAAATAGAGCGGCTCAGTCTCTGCTTTTCTCTTTTTTACACTGCTGACCCCATCAGTCATGTCAGTATTAATTTATGTAAAGACATAAAAAATGAATATCATTATTTTGTCATCCGAATTCTGTTGGAATTGATTGAAATAAAAAGTTATTTTTATTCTAGCAGTCTTAGTAGTTTTTGGAGAATATTTAGATTATTGGAAGAAATTCCTGTTATTATCTCCTGTTTGTTTTTATTTCTGGTGAAGCTTGATAGAATGTCTTGGATGTAAGTGTTCTAAGCATCTCTATATGGTGGGAAAAGTCAATCTATTTTTTTTTTAAATCAAATTGAGAATTTTTGTTTTGCATTTAAACCTTGAGTTATGAAGTACCTGGCTTCACTACCTATAAAAATCACCCAGCAGTAGGTAACAAAGTAGTGTAGCTGGCACCATGTTATCCGAGTAGCACAGGAATACATTGAAGAAATCAGTCATATTACTACTTAGTGCATAGACTGAGGATATTTTCTAGTGCAGGATTTTGGTGTTGTGCAAAATTTGCTCACACAACACAAATAGTATGCCAACTCTCATCAGTTTTATTTCATGAGTACTTACTAATTTTTATAATAGTAATTATTACAGAAACTACCCACATATTGATAACAAGGGTGAATAAAGGATATAAGTTATGTGCATTCTCCACCTTTCCCCGGACAACATACATATTCATGAAGTTGTGTTGTCTCTTCCTACACCCACTTCCCCACCCCCAGTTATGTATGTAGTGAAGAAGATAGAGAACAGAAAGGAAGCTAAAACTCCTTTGAATTCCTTTACCAGTTTTTCATTCCATATCTCATAGATAATGTAGAGTACAGGGTTGTATCATTTGCCTCTGATGTAACAAGTTCACAAAAGCATAGAGGGAGAAAGGAGTGTATTTTTACCATTGATGGCTTCAGTTTCTCCATAGGACAGTAGTTTGTTTGGAATATACTGAGATATTACCATTATTTTAATGCTGATTTTGCATGTAAGATATTCATACTCTTGTCAGGTTACTAAATTCAGTAAGTAACATGTTTTTAGAATGGAGAACAGTAAATATTGATTGGCTGATTTTCCCTACCCAGTCTAAAAGCTTCTTTTAATTATATTGACATTGTTTTGACCAAATGTGTGAAATAGATTTAAAAATGAAAAAAATCATTCCTTAAATTATTGGAAATTATATATTAGAAAATGAGATGTGTTCAGTGGATTTAATTGTAATATCCAAATGCTTAAAAAAAATACCTTCCTTGGTTTTAACATTATAATTTGGCAACTCTTAATATTTCTAATGTATTAATTCTTTTTTTTTTCCAGGGGCCACATTATCTTAGTTCCAGAATTTAGTCTTCCTCTGGAATACTACCTAATTCCCTTCCTTATCATAGTGGGCATCTGTCTCATCTTGATTGTGATTTTCATGGTAGGTAAATTTATTTTTTAAGTGCTTTTTAAAAAATAGTATAGATGGTCTAAAAAACATTATATTGAGTAATAGAAGCCTTGCTTTAAAAATATATACATTATGTGAGTCTATTTGTATAACTTGTTCTGGAAAAGGAAAGATAATTTGAGTAGAAAAAATCAGAACAGTGAGTGCTTCTGGAAGGTTAGGGAGGGGCGAGGGATTTACTGGGACACCTATGAAGGACTTTTTGGTGTGAGTCATCTTCTGATTCTCAAGAGAAGTTTGGGTTGTACTAATGCCTAATTCACCAAATTATACAGTTAAATTTTGTGCATTTCATTGCATGTAAATTTTACCTCAAAAGAAAAGAGAATTTTTAAAAAAAAATTAAATTCTAAGTAATGATATACATGGTGAAGTAATTTGGGGTAAGTATACTGATACCTGCAACCTACTTTGTAAAAAAATAATAGAAATATTTTTATTTATGTTTCCTAGGTTTCTCCAATGTAAAGTTATTATTTTTCTCTTTATTCTGTTCTTCCTTTGGAAATGAGGCACAAAGTGTAGCCCAACCCTAATGGTGGAAAGGGGCAGGAATTAGGCTTCATTTCATGAGGATAATAGGGTGGACCTACATGTACTAGTATTACTTAGAATTCTTTTGTAAGGAAGATCTGTCTCTTTTGAGTTATTTATTTATTCACTCATTTACATTAATAAGTACTTATGTATGTTTATTTTACACTTTGATTAAAATACTATATTATTTATTTTGTGTAAATTATTTGAGCTTTGGCCATTGGGAACTGTGTTAGGCTTACTTCTGTGTGTCTTTGATTTGACCCCCCCTTTATATATATATTTCTTTACTGTAAGAAGCTTAAGGCTCATCTTACCTTTTTTTCTTTTTTAAACAAAATATATTTTATTGATTTTTTACAGAAAGGAAGGGAGAGGGATAGTGAGTTAGAAACATCGATCAATTGCCTCCTGCATCCCCCCTACTGGGGATGTGCCCGCAACCAAGGTACATGCCCTTGACCGGAATGAACCTGGGATCTTTCAGTTCACAGGCCGATGCTCTATCCACTGAGCCAAACCGGTTTCGGCACATCTTACCTTTTTCTTATCCCAGACCTAGAATCAGACATTTATCCAAAGAGCCTTAGTTTCTTTTATTGAAGAGTTTTATTTAGAAACTGTGATTTGGACAATGGCCATTATTGATTTTAATACAGTAATTTTATATCTGTAAACTTGCTGAATTCTACTATTCTGATAATTTGAACTTATTGATTCTGTTAGGTTTTCAGTGTAGAAACAAGTATAGAATGTTAGAACAACAGCAAATAAAAAATACTCTTGGTAAACTGGGAATAGAATTACATATCCTAAAGCTAATAAAGATTATTGACTAAAAACTGTAAATAAACATCACTAAATGGTGAATTATTAGAAACCTTCTCTTGAAACTCAGGAACAAAAAAGGATGACTGTTATACCTTCTGTTAACATTGCATTATATTTTCTGGCAAAACATGAAAAAAACACATTGTATGGATTAGAAATAAACCAAAATTTTATTTGCCTTTTAAGAAAATAATGAATGGGTGCTGAATTATGTCTCCTGTCTGTTGTAATAATAATTGGTTTTTTTTCTTTATTAACACCTTGCTGACTGGTCACAAGTTAATTTGTTTTTTCCACTTACATTAATGTAAGTAATTTTAAGATGTGAAAGCAATGTAGATTTGTAAAAGAGTACTCTAGACTATTTTCAAATAAAGATTTACCCTCCAGATTATCAGGAAAATTAAAAAGTCATGTTTTTTTTTTAAAAAAAAAAAACAGTAATCAGTAGTAAAAATATTCCACTAGGGTGTGTAAAGTATGTTATTAGTAAAATACGATATGTATGTCAAACTTGTTTAGTATCAATGCATATAGATACATGTTATATATCACACTAAAAAATATTAAAAAGAATAAAGTATTAAAAATATTAAAATATATGCAATATGTTTAATTTTGACATATAGTAATATAAATGTAAGATATGACAAAATAAGTACATTTAAGTTTATTTAGATACTTTCATTTAATATTCAAGTATGGAAAAGTAGCTGGTGCATGGGTGAGTTCTGGCTTAAAATAGCCGGTCAGCAAGGTGTTAAGTTGGGTTATATGAATGTGTTTTATAAATTTTAAAAATCCTGTATTTTTGGGATAAACAATTTGATCATGATGTGTAAATTTTGTCTTTGCATTTCAATTATTCACATTTCTAATATGGGTTAGTCAGTTTTACACTTGTACATAGATGTAAAAATCCTAAATAAAACATTAGCCATCTGAATGTCTTAGTAAGATAAAGTTTTAGTTTTATCAAGCTAGAAGAATCTTGGCATCAGAACTTGAATACTGTTGATAGGAATGTTAAATTGAATAGCCACTACAGCAATTCTTCAAAAATTTAAATATACATTATCTTATGATCCAGCAATTCCACTTTTGGAAATATACCCCAAAGAATTCAAAGTAAAGAGTTGAAGCTATGTTCAATAGGCAATCCGATTGTTCATCAGTGGGTGAATAAACAAAATGTGGTATGTCCATACAATGGAATATTATTCATTCTTAAGGAAGGAAATTCTGACACATGCTACAACATGGATGAACCTAAAGGGCATTATGCCAAGAGTATAAGCCAGCAACAAGGGGACAAATATTGTATGATTCTATATATGGTACCTAGGTAGTCAGATTCACAGACCGAAAGTAGAATGGTAGTTCCTGGGAGCTATAGGAAGGGGAGAATGGGGAATTAATGTTTAATTGATATAAGAGTTTTAGTTTTGCAAGATGAAAATAGTTTTATGGATGGATAGTGGTGATTGTAGCACAGTTTGAGTATACTTAATGCCATAGAACTGTACACTTAAAAATGGATGGAATAGTAAATTTTATGTATATTTTACTGTGTTTTAAATAACATAAAAATAACTGGACTTAAAAATTAACCCTATAAAATTAAAGCTTTCTCTTATTTTCCATTTTCTAAAGTAAATTTTTCTGAAATTGGAATGATCTGTTACTTGATTTTTTTGGTGAATGTTGCCAATAAAATCGTCTACTCTGACCTTTTTCATAGTTACCTGGACATTTAGATGGTTGTCTACTTGTTTTTTATTTTTAATTTAATAAATCTTTACTGTTCAGATTATTACAATTGTTTCTCCTTCCCCTCCTCCCCCCATAGCTCCCTTCCACCCGGTTCCCACCCTACTTTCTGCCCTTATTTACTTCCCCCCCATTGTCTTCATCCATAGGTGTATGATTTTAATCCATTCTCTTCCTGTACCCCCCATACCCCTTTCTCCTGATAATTATCAATTATCCTTTTCTTTGCCCCTGATTCTATTATATTCACCAGTTTATTCTGTTCCTCAGATTTTTAGTTCACTTGATTTTTAGATTCACTTGTTGATAACGATATATATATATATATATATATATATATATATATATGTATGTATGTATTTGTTGATCATAATTTTTATCTTTTTTCTTCTTCTTCCTCTTCTTAAAGAATACCTTTCAGCATTTTATATAATACTGGTTTAGTGGTGATGAACTCCTTTAGCTTTTTCTTATCAGTGAAGCTCTTTATCTGCCCTTCAATTCTGAATGATAACTTTGCTGGGTAATCTTGGTTGTAGGTTCTTGCTATTCATCATTTTAAATATCTCTTGCCACGCCCATCCCAGTGCATAGTTTTTGTTGAGAAATCAGTTGATAATTGTATGGGTGCTCCCTTATAGGTAACTCACTGTTTTTCTCTTGCTGCTTGGAAGATTCTCTCTTTGTATTTTGCCCTTGGCATTTTAATTATGAAGTGTCTCGGTGTGGTCCTCTTTGGATTCCTTTTGTTTAAGCACATAGATGCTTCCTAGACTTATAAGTCTATTTCTTTCACCAGGTGGGGGAAGTTTTCTGACATTATTTCTTCAAATAGGTTTTCAGTATCTCTCTCTCTTCTTCTGGTACCCCCATAATTCTGATGTTGGTATGCTTGAAGTTGTCCCAGAGGCTCTGTACACTGTCTTCAACTTTTTGGATTTTCTTCTCTTCTTCTCCAGAGGAGTGTCCTTTGCTTCTTTGTATTCCAAATCTTTGACTTGATTCTTGCATTTCTCTAGTCTGCTCTTGGGGCTCTGTATAATATTTTTTATTTCTGTCAGTGTATGTTTAATTTTTAGTTGGTCCTTTTTCATATTCTCGTGGTTCCATTAAATTTATCGGCCTTTTCTAGGAAATTCTTGAAAACCTTATAACCATGCTTTTGAACTATATATCGAGTCTTTTGTTCTCCTCCATTTCTTTCATTTGCGATCTGTTTCCTTATCTCGGCATTTTCACTGCTTCCCTGAGTTAGTAGGGTGGCTTTGTATGTTGGTGTCCTATATAGCCCAGTGGGTCAGTCTCCCCAGTTACCTGAGGTAGACACTCTTGGTGCTCCCCTTTGTGGGCTGTGTGTACAGCCTTGTTGTAGTTAAGTCTTGATTGTTGGTTGGTATCAGTGGGAGGAACTGACCTAGCCAATTGGATGTATCAGCTATGTCTACACTAGGAAACCTTCGGTATTGGAGACAGCCTTATAGTGTACTGGAGACAGCCTTATAGGACCAGACTTGCAAAATTGCAAAAGCCTCTGTGCTCAGCTTGAATGGGGTGGAGTCTCAGGGCTGAGTCAACAGTCTTGGCTTCCAGTCAGTCCTGCCCTTGTGCACGCACTTCAGACCTCTGCCTTGCACGGCTCCCCTGAGTTTCTGCCTAACAGTCCAGATTCCCCCCTGCAAGAGCATGGGTACCCCAGGGGCTTGCCAGGAATTGGGTTGTGTCTCTGTCTAATATTTTTAATCCCAGTGCAGTCTGACTCCCTCTGCTATGAAGAAGCTGCGGCAACTTCCGCAGTCAGACCTGTCTGCTCACACTCAACTCGCACATGCATG